GACTCACATAGACTGTAGAGTTTACGTTACATGTAAAGGTTGTGATAATCCTCATATTTAACTTAAATTATAACGTCTATCGAGAAAAGGTTTCTTTAAAACTTTCAAAAGGTATAAAAACTTTTAAAACTATTATTAATTATTATTAATATATTATATTTATTAATTTTAATTAGTTTTTATTCTAAAATGACATAGCAGCGCATAGGTTAGTTCCTTTGCGAATATTTGGAAATTTCTGTTGTCAGGCGGGGTAACCTGATGTTATTACTAATCACAACCTAAAGGATAAAATCAAAATTTAAAATTCACCAGCTGACGCAAATATTGACGTATAAATGTATGTACAAGTGTAAGTATACAATGACACTCCTGCTTGTTAACATAGTCGCATTCACTCTAAAAGGCCACTGATTGTAGTTGCAATATGTAAATTTGTGTTGGAGCGGCGAGCCCTAACGGAAAGCTGTGCCCAATATTGAGTCATTTGACCACCAACTCTGACGCTTATAATTGACTTACGTAATTGATGTTGCCAACCCATGGAAATTGTGGAAATTTTCCGTCTCCTTATATGGCAGAAATATATTTTGGTTTTTGAGTAGATAGATATATAGTATGTATATTTGAGAAAGACATAATGTTTTGCCAGATCTCACTAGTTTAAGGTATAGTTAATATGTAAATACCATAGTATCTTAGAGGGTCTTTCCAAAATTTGATCAGCTATGAAACGATTTCATTCTTAACAGGTAAGGAAAAGCTAAGTTCGGGTATAACTTGCAAGAATTATGGCCAGAGAACTATCTTAAAATACATATTACTTTTTAGTTATATGAGTTCTACTATGAGTTTCCACCCGATTTTCATCATTCTAAGGAAAAATATGCACCGTTGTAATAAAGACAGAATCTACCAAAGGTATCTCACATATGGCCGATATACGCGAAAGTTCTAAAATCTTTATATTACTTAGGTATATGGAAGCTAAAGGAAGTATTGACTCGATTCAACTCGTTTGCAACACACAGACATACTACTAACAGGAAAGCTTTCTCTCTGAATTTCAATTATACATATGTATATCTCATATATTGGCCACGCCCACTTTTTTACATTTTTTTTTATCACAAATGCCCCTTATCGGTGCAAAAATGAGCGTCGACAAAGAGCCAACATTAAATTTTGTTTTGAAATTGGTAAAACTTTTACCGAAACGTTTCAATTGATGAAATTGCTTATCGCATAGCAGAACGCACGAGTGGTTTCAACGTTTACAAAGTGGTTGTGAGGACATAATGACGATCAACATGTGGGCCAATCAAAATCCGTGATCACCGGAAATTCCATCGAAACTGTGCGTGAATTCATCAAAAATTAGCCAAAGTCATCATTGAAATTCATGGAAATGGAATTTAACATCTCCAAAACATCGATTTATCGCATTTTGACCGAACATTTGCGCTTACGACAGGTATGTGCACGGTTTGCTCCGCAGAAATTGACCGACTTTGTATGACAGCTACACACATATGTATATGCTATAGCCAATTTGTTCGGAGATTGCGCCCTTGTCTTAGGCAGTAATCTGTGCCAAATTTCAAAAAGATAATTTGTCTAAAAAAATGGTTTTTCATAATTAAAATTCCAAATTCAAAAATATTTGAATCTTGTATGGAAAAATATATAAAACAATTTCATGTTAAATGTTTTAAAATTATTAAAAATTATACTAAATTAAAATTTTTTAACATTTTCTTCTTATTGATTAATTGCTTTTCTGAAAGCTTTCAACTGCACGATTTCCTATTTGGTCAGATGAGAACGTAAATTGAGCGAGTGATTTATTGAGTGAAAGTAATTTGAATTCCACTCAAAATCCTCCAAGGGGTCATTGTCCAAGCGTGATAACCCTGTATTTTTCAACCCACATCAATATTTAGTGGATTCCCGCATTGCAGACGCCAGGCTTTGCTTATGCACACAAAAACATACAAACACACACATGTATACTCGTGTGGAGGATAGACGCCGAGTGTTGTTTGCATTTGCAGTCGCTTTTAGACATGTGTCTGTGCATATTCATCAGAGAATTTTTGTACTATCGGAACTAAAAATTTTCAGTCTGAAAACACAAACACACTCTCGCACACCTATACATACGTGCTTTTCTATAGTGTATACACACACATACATATTCATATATGCAGTTAAAATTGAAGCGAGATATTGTTGTTGCTGTTCAATTTTGGAGACATGCAATACATACAAATGTACATGTATATATTTGCGTCTGGCTCTGATAATGAAGTTCATCATATTCATTCTGTGTTGGACGTTTGTCGTTATTATTGACATTTTTATGTTTGTCGAATACTTTTCTTTGGAAATAGTGGCGGCTTTAATTAATAAAAATTCAAGTGTTTATTTACTACTTAATTGTAAAAGCAATAAACAAACGGATTTTCAAATACTAACAGTTTATCAATGAATGGTTATATACATATGTATGTAGCCATATGAGTATATGCAAAGGTCGTTAAATAATATTACAAATTATTTATCAGACTGAATGAATCTTCTTCGGGTCCAATAATGAATGTCTATTAGATTAGATTTTCGAATTTATGTATATATGTAATATTGTATGCATCATGATCAATATTGCATATTACTATTTCAATTTGCAACTGATTGGTGGCGGTGAAAATCTCGATATCTAATTTTAAAATTGGAAATCACCAATCGTACGGAGTAAAGTCAGCCTGATGTTCGAAACTATTGATATTAGTTACATATATGGGGAAAAGGACAAGTTTTTGCCCAATTTAAAACATAAAGATACACTCTCATGATGTTGGAGTCCGAAAATCTTTATATTATTTTTATGAGGGCTAAGAGAAGTATTAACTCTATTCAATCCATTTTTGAAACACATAATTACTATACGAAGACAATTGTATATCTCACACATTGACCGACATTTTCGGTCAATTGTCAATTATCCATACTGGGGTCCGAATACTCGATACCTAGAGGCTCGAGCAGTTTTCGTTGGATGAGGACAATTTTCGGTCGTAAGGTGCCATACTCTAAGAGCATTATTCGTGAAAATTTTTTCTCCATAATAATAATTGCTTCTTGATTTGTACACTGGAAAAGAAAGAGCCAGATGGAACTTAAAATTTTGTTGTTTGAGAAGTGGGGATCGTTGTTTTCGGATTTCTAATAGTTTCGCACTGTGGTATAAGAATATGAGGAGAATGCTTCGTACGAAATTTAGTCGAAATCGGGAGGTCAGGTTCCGAGATATGTGATTTGTCTATAGCGTATTTAGTTCTTGATTTATGACGATTTTAGTAGTTTTGAATAGTACCGTTATGTAGGGAGTGAGTGGGATTTTTTTCCGATTTGACACTGTCGGTAGCAGTTCTTAAAAATGTGTGCCTATGGAGATTGGTGATTGTAGCTTTATTGGCTTAGGAGATATGTACTTTAAACTTATTAGAGGGCGGGGAAACGCCCACTTTTTAAAAATTTGTTGCCCATGGGTACCCCCTGCTACTGTGATCCCCTGTGTGAGTGCACTTTATACGTTTTCGGTTGATAACATTTGTGTGCGTGGCAGTGGCCCCTCTACGAACTGGTAATTTTTTTGACTAAGGAATGCGCATACCAAGTTTCATGAAGATTTATCCAAGTTGTAGCTTGCACGGACGTGCGGACAGACAGACAGTCATCCATATTTAACCAGCTTCGTCATCGTGATTATTTATATATACATAACCCCATATCCACCTAGATTTAGATTTTAGGTTAGGTATAAAAACGGTCAATTTGTCTGCAATGAAACTGTAACCCCGTTCACAGATGAATTTCTTATAGCTTAAAGGCTGTGAGAACATCTTTTTCTCAGTTTCGATCAATTACTTTGTATAACAGTTATCTAATATGGTGCTCTGATGTCGGCATTTTGACAAATGAGCAACTTTTTGGTGTGAAAAGAACGAGTGCAAATTTTTGGAGCGATATTTCAAACACAGAGGGACCATTTCGCGTATATACAGAGAGGTAGATAAACATGTAGACTGGTTAAATCGACTCAGCCCGTTGATCATTTATATGTGCATATACTTGTACTTTATAGAGTCTCCGAGGTCCCTCAAGGGTGTTACAAACTTCGCGGCAAATTATACCCTTTTCAGAGTATAATTAGCAGTGAACTTTAAAATCACGCATAGTTCTGGAAACTATACAATTATTAATTGATCCAGGGGCAAAGCAGATGAAAGAATATTACAATCCGATGATCTTGAACTTATCAGCTCGTGAGAGAAACATAGTAATATAATGAAACTAAATCAAAGTTTGAACAAGTTCAATAGCCAGACAAAAGATGTGGCATTTGACCATAAAGGTGTTTATTTTAAGTTTCACTCAGTAAGACGTATCCAGTTCAGTTAACAACCACATTTTCAATAGAAATTTTCATTTTAATTCGATTGGGCTAGCGCATTCTTTTCTTCCCCTTTAATTATTACGGTTTTTGCAATATATTATATAATATTTAACAAAGCAACAAATCGTCAGAAAACAGTAAGTCCAAAAAGCATGAAATGGATTGACGTCACTTTCCTCAGAGTCTACGCCTATCTTTAGAAGGGTGCAACGACGAGCAATAAAATGCTGTTCTGAATGCTTGGCCTGATTTAACAAGTGTTTTTCTTGCATTAAAGATAATCATATCTGTGTTGAATATATCTTATCAATCACACATTTGCTATCTTACTGCTTTTAGCAAAGAGTTAGTCATGAGCAAAACCCACACCTATAAACACCTATAAATCGACCTAATAATAATGACCTAAATAATGAAATAATCACAGATATATGTAAGAGCTAAAAAGCGGAATAGCATGGAGAAAATTATAAAAAGAAGAAAAAATATTAGACATGTTTTTTTTTATAAAAAAAGTGCATTAAATAAAACAGATATTGAATTAATTTGATTATTTATTAGTAATGCAATTGCGCTTGCGATTAAATAGGAAACGATAAAATTACTCACGTTCTCGATTGATTGATGGTTGCCGTAAACGAAGTGCTATACTCGTACTTAACTTCCGATTTCAGATTATAACGTCGCTTCATTTTATTTTTGCTAGCGCTTTGTTTCCGTATTGCCTTTTTTCTAAAGATGAGCTTCAAAATTAGTGTCCAAATAATTTGTATGAAATTGTCACCGAAACCCAGAGTGATCTTCACTTTCTGTTATATTCGAAACAAGATACAGTTATACGCGTAGAGACACGTATTGCTAGTATAAAGTACTCACACCTCTGACAACTGAGTGGCGGAAATAGCTTTTATATCCAATCCTGATAATACACTCGATTTGTATTTTACATACAATTCGCAAGCATAGGGACTGGCTGCCGAATTTAGGGTTGAGCGCTTTTGTGTAATTTCTGCGCTGCCTTGGAAACCTTTTGCACTTATCCATATTGACTTTTTGTTATCACCGTTTCTCGTTCTGTGATATTAATTGTTGGGAAGTTCATTAAAAACTCAATGAAAATTGTTGAATTCAAACAATAAGTAGTAACAAATTATTTGTTTTTTCATTGAGCGCAATTGAAATGATCAAGGCTTGTCCTGTCTTCTTAGAGAATCAGTTGGATGTAAACGAATAAGGTTGAAATTTACTTTATATTTGTAAAGGACTGTTCACTAAGTATTAGCGCCCAGCAATATGAAGTAAAATTTTAGGGTAGAAATAATTTTCTTGTTGTTGTAGCGTGCAATTTACCTCAATTATACTAGGGATTAATATACATACATACGATCTAAATTACACTTTTCGTAAAAATATATAGAAATCATACAGGTTTATATTGGGTAGTCGAAAAACTCTTTTCGTATTTCTAATCAAACTTCAACTTATTTGTTTATATTTATAATAAAGTTCAATGAATCAAATATGTATTTTGGTTGACCACTTTTTGCCATTTTCCGCTAGAGACATTATTCCTTCAGTTTAGAATTGTATGGTTTCTCGGCAAAAAACTGCGAAAAGTAATTTTCACAAGATTCTCTTGAAGTCAACTTTACTCCATAAAGGGAGTTCTGCATTGACAGCAACAAATGGTAGTCCGGTGGTGCAAGGTCAGAGCTATATGCTGGATGTATCAAAACTTCCCAGCCAAGCTCTCCAGGTTTCACCGAGTCATCAAAGGTGTGTGTACTCTAAGGTTGTTCAGATGGAAGACGAATCCCTTTCTGATCAGCTTTGGCCGTTTTTTTCGATTGCTTGTCTCAATGTCATCAGTTGTTGACAGTAGAATGTGGAATCAGTCGTTGGACCAGGCTGGAGCTGTTCATAGTGAATGATTCCTTTTCAATACCACCAAGCACTCAGCATAACCTTTTGAGGCGTCAATCCTGGCATTGCCACCATTTGTTGAGCTTCACCGCGCTTGGACCTGTATCGCACATTGTTGTCGCATTTGATGCACTTTTCGTCTCCTGTTAACATTCGTCTCAGAAATGGTTCGATTTCATTTCAGCAAAGAATCGCAGATGTTAATTCGGTCCATTAAATTTCTTACAGACAATTCATTTGGTACCCAAACATCGAGCTTCTTTTTGTATCCTACCTTTTTTAAATGGTTCAAGACCGTTTAATGATGAATGTTAAGTTCCTTAGCGTTGTCATGGGTGCATATGTGCTGGTCAATCTTTTCCATAATTTCATCGACTTTTTCAATGATAAGCCGACAAGAGCGAGGTGCATCTTTCACATCGAAATTTCCAGAGCAGAAGCGAGTGAACCATTGTTGTGATACACGAATTGATGCAGCATCTTCTCCGCAAACTTCACAAATCTCATTGCATGGCATTATTCCTTTTTTTATACCAAAATTTCAAAATATAGCGAAATTTCTCATTATTTTCACTAATTTTGTGAACACCTGTAACTTTTTTTCAAATTCGCCGAATTTAATTTTTTTAGTTAAATGAAGCTAAAAATCTCACCTTTACAACACTATACAGTATGGCACAATGTGATTGGTAGCACTGGAGATATACGACTGCAAAGACATCTATTGACAAAATACGAAAAGACTTTTTCGACTACCCAATATATATCAGCATATATCTTAGCTTACCGCAATTCTTACATTTTCCACATTTTTATCAGTACTTTATTTATTTTTTTTTATAAAAATGTTCACAATTTCGTTAAAGATCACCGATTACTTTTGCCTAAAACTCGTGCCTAAAAGTATGCTACGCACATTGTATTGCAAGCAAATTAAACAAACGCTCACGCTGAAAAAAATTATTTTTGACGCTAATAAACACAAAGCGATTTAAAAAATTTGTAAAAAAAATCATTGCTCCTTTCCCAATTCACATTCCATATGTACACCGCGCAGGCTGCCAGTCCAAGCAATGATCTTCTGATAGTGATCGATATTGATTTTCGTGATGATATTTGCATTTGCCTGCTCCCGACGCAAGTGATCGATTACCATTTGGCCACGTGTGTGAATACCAGCCAATTCAACGGTAGCATGATGAAGCTCATGCTCCATCACCACTAAGTGGGGGAATAGATAAATGGCGACAGCCAGCGCATCGCAAACCAACCAACGTTTCACACCTCTGGGCACTAACAAGGCGCGTTCTACGCGATTCAAAAGCTGGACGAATGGGTTCTCCACTGTGCCAAGTATATTCAAGCGCCAATCCTGTGCGAGGAAGATGAAAGGGTAAAGAGAAACGTGAGTAAGAAAAATGTTAATAATATATTAGGTAAACACATACAAGTGTAATACGAAAAGCCTGATCGTCACATGTTTCCCAGGGCAATATAGTAACGGGCGCTTCAACGTTCTCGAAAACTATTTGTGCAGCTTCGGGATCCATCATAAAGTTAAACTCGGCGCTTTTAGTGGTGTTGCCTTTGCCTTCGTTACAAATAAATTTATATTACAAAAAAATTGTGTAAATTTTAAATTTAGACCATTAACCTCTGTAATTGCCGCCCATTATGTATATTTCACCAACCTTATATAAGAATTTTGAACCATACATACTTATACACATGGCAAAATTAGTTAGCGGCCCCACTAACAAGAAGTCCACCTGTTTAGGATACTGTTATGTAAAGTTAAAATATATTAAAGAAACGTTTTCGCTCTCTTTCGAAATTTTTTTTATAAATTTACCTTGCAAACAAACTCATACATCGCATTGACTGCATGCTCCGGTCGCACTAAAGTCAGATCAACCGGCTGCTCATGCTGAAGATCGCCGAAACCGTCCTTACCCACGAAATACTTGGGGTTCTCCCAGGGCCTTGACTTAAACAAATTACTACAACCTTTGAAAACTGGTATCTAAGTGTTGATAAATAGTTTGTATATAATAGCTGAAGTTCCAAAATAGAATTCTTCACTTACATCATTTCTATTGACTACGTCCAGCACTCTAAGCGTGTTGACCACAGCATGCTCAACCGTGGTATTGCCCTGTACGCATGTAACGCCGATGATTTCAAACTTCTTGGGTGAATCGGTTAGCTCTTGACGATTTTTATATGCCTGCTCAGCTTTGATGAGCATCATCAGACCCCACGCATCGTCGTTACCCACATCGCAATCATATACTACATACCTTCCCATATTTGTTGTTACTTTTCAGGGTGTAATAGTTTCTATTATGAATTCCGAGAACGTCTGTATTTTGCTGTAATCAGTTTATTACTAAACATCTAGTTCTCAGCTAAGATTTTGTTTAAATCACTAAAAAACAAATCTTTCATTTTCGCATATTCATAGAAAGCTTTATATGTATTTATATGTATGTATATGCCTTAACTGATCTCTTATCTACATTTACAAAGCGACAGAATCTCGTTCATTTGTTGTTATTTGTGGTTTTGCCGGATTTTGTTGTACTTCAAGCACCTTTGGAATTATTTTTTGTAATGGGTTATATACATTTTATGTTTGTAAAAATAAATGTTGCAATAAACTGCACTGAGTCAATTCATGAAATAAGTATGTCTCATATCATATCTTATTTGATTTCAGTTTTGCATGTAAGAGTATCTGTAGTTGAATTAATTAGGCTCTCTACTTGAAAACTCGTCTCAAATGATACGAGAATTAAAGAACTTCTTTGTTCCAATGCTACAGAAAATCAATAGTTTAAGAAAATTGGGTTATATATCATATCGCCATGCTTTGACGTGTTTTTTTCGGTTTCCGCTCGCTTTTGCCACAATATTCGGCCAATTTATTATCTATTTTCTGTCGTAAGCATAGAATGAAGACAAAATGCTTTTCGCTATTCCAACGATGTCAGTAATATTTTTGAGTATTAATTGAGCACCAATTCCTTCAATTTATGTACGCGTTGATCATCAGTTGATGTTGATGACCGTCCTGGACGTGGTTCGTCATCAACGCGTTCTCGACCCTCTTTGAATAATTTGTAGCATTCAAAAAGTCTTGCTTGTGACTAACAATTTTTACCGAAGTCTTTTTCTAACATTATAAACGTTTCGGTATCAGAAATTTGTAACTTTTTTTTTAGAAAATGTGCTCCTTAAATGAGCTCTTCATTGAGAATCCACTACTGTCTTAGATATAAAGTTAAAGTATAAAATTGAGCAAAGAAATATTTAATAACAATCTTCACACTTCTTTGAAATTTTTTCGATTATTTATTTCTTTAGCTTTATTTTCTACAGTAGGTCCCTGAAATACCATAGTAAAACAATTTTTTTTAGAAAATTCTTTTTTTTATTCACACTTTGTCCTTTGCTCCAAAATTGGCCTCAATTTCAGCGATCACCGCTTCATTAGACAACAAATCCAACAATGGGTGATTTAATTCTAGTAGGACCATCTATGTGTTAGCCCGGGCTTTTCAAGTTGTTTTTAGTTTAAGTAACTAAATCCTTTTCGATTTTGCAATTGTTTCCAAACCATTAAAACTAAAGCTTCCATGACGTGTGTAAATCATAGATTATATTTGTTTGAAAGTTTTCGAAGTAAGACAATTAAATAAATACTGAAAACTTAATACAATTACATATTATTTTAGTAACTTACTTGCATATTGCCAAACAGTTTTTTTAAGTGAAAAAGTTTACAGAAATATAATATTTAACAATAAAGCAACTCCTTAACCGACTTAATAAGTACACAACCAAAACAAGTTCTTGTATGCCAAATTTATA